AATAACGACGGCGGGCGGCGGTAGCAGCAGAGGTAGCCGAGGCAGGCGGGCCGGGGGTTTATTAAGAATTCAGTGCCTTCCTTCCCCGTCGCCGCTTGCCGACCCGCCACTTGACGCTCCCGCCCTACCGCCGCCCCCATTGTGTCCTTATTATACGAGCTGTTTTCATGTTACCTTTCATACTCTTTTGCGCTAAGCTATGCGCTGTTGCGTTATTCTCGGGGGCGGGCGGTCGGCGGCGGTAGTAATATGCTAAACTAATAAAGTCGCCCTCAGCTACACACGACCATCGGGGCACACCGCGCGCGCGGAACATGCATGTAAATATAAATTCCGTGTTTTTGCGCTTGTTTTAGACTCTTTCGGTCACAACTCTCTGTCATGTTATGCGTTTTTCGAGCGCGGGCGGTTATTTTTTTTTTTTTGTTTGTCGAGTTGAGTTTTGTGGTTGTCGCCGACACGAGTCGGTCAAAACTATAAATAGGGTTTAACCGACGCTACAGGCCAGCATATAAATATTGACGTTTATGGAGTGCGCCGCAAAATTGCATTCGTTTTTCACGATCAGTTTGCGATTGACGCATTGGAGCCGTATTTATTCGCACTCCGCAGCGTCCAGGGGCATTAATCGTGTGTCATGTGTCAGAGTGCAGGTTTTTAAAAATATTCGGCGCGCAAAAAATGTTTGAATTTTAAATCATGCACAAGTGAAAAGGATCAGCGTACATATGTTGTCATAGTAATGTCATTTAGGGACAGGTGACGAGATGAAAAAATCACAAATATTTTATTCATATTTTATTTCCTCGCAAATAGGTTGATTTCTTGTAAAAACAGGTTTAGAAGACTGGAAAATTCGTACTATTTACAATGAGTAAGACATTTTTGCAGAATTATTGGTTTAGTTGGTATAAAATCAAATTTTTGAAGTTTAGATTGATATTTCTCCTCCTACGTAAATAGTCAGTGTTGACAAAGTGACGTCAGTGTTGAGTTCTTGCATCTAATTGGTGTTTTCGATATTTTCGCGTTTTTTCTTCGAATTTCGCTGATTTTTGAACAACATAATTGTCAACCTCAAGTTTTATGACATTAATTATAATTTTAGTGATTTTCGCATCATTGGTGCAATATTTTCGGAATTAGCTGCCTAACACTGCCAAAAAACTTTATATTGCGCGATATCGAACAACATAACCATATTTTATTTGTCAAATTTATTTCTTGAGATTTTCTTACGTTTTTTTCTGCTTTTCTCGGCGTAAACTACTCAAACAAGGAAAAAAATCATAAAAATCTGTCCAGCCATCCATTTAGTTGAAAATACCATAACACCACCAATGTTGGTAGTTTAGTTGAGCAAGTTTCGAAACGTATATAACTTATGACAACTTGCGCGATAGTAAACATGCACGCAGCCATTAATGAATGCATTATTAGCGTGCGCGAAAGTTGGCTGCATCATAATCCATTAGTTCGACGCCATCGGTTTCATCAGCCCGCACCAACACTATCACCATCCACCCCGCGTGCGCATTCTTCGTCTCTTGTGCTCGTCCGCCGCTTTTATTACTCGTATTATGATTACGACATGGCTGAAAGCCTTATTAACTTTCCAGTTTGGAATTTAGTAACAATTAACTTTCAACTTTGCGGGCCGCTAAACTCGCGAAGCCCGACCCCAACGAACGTCACAACTTGCGAGTCTTCGAAATCGGCGCGGAAATTTTACGAAATAAGCTCGCGGCCATTTACCGAAACTTTAATAAATCAGTAATTACGCGCGTAAATTCAATTATATTATATGCGCGTGATTAAAGTATAGTATTTTAATGTGTAATATATTGCAATTGCGGAATGAATTTTCGAATATGTGGAGCGAAATGAAATTAAAAAGTTGGCAACAATAATTAATCGGCGCGCGGCGGTTCGCTTCCGGACTTGGACCCAGCGTCCGGCGGGCCGCCGGTGTGTGTTTGCGAAAGTGTTTGCAGCGGCGACAAATTATGCGCGTTAACGATGCGAATTCGTATAGGGGCTCGTCCGCAAATTTTAATTTATGTGCCCTGCCGGCCCAATTATGATTAAAATTCACGCCGTCACTCGCCGCGCCAAAGTAAAGTCGATAAATTTGATTACGCCCGGAAAATATTGCCGCACGGCCAAATAGTAATGCTTTACGACTGCAGAATATCAAAACGGGATTAACACAAAATAATAAAATTCGCACATTAATGCACCGCCCGAAATTAATTAAATTATTCAAGTTTATTATTATTTCTCTGAAGTAGGAAGAGAAAAATAATAAAAATAATGAAACAGTTTTTTTCTAAATTGTGCTTTTCGAGAGGTAGTTTGCAGACTGTTGATGTGGGGTGGTCAGTGTTGGTAAACGAGAGGCGGCAACGCCAAATTAGTTTTTAATGACGCGGCTCTCTATTAATGAACGCCATCAATAAACATGGCGCGAAACGTCAATTAAACTCTGCCCGCAAAAACACCGCAGACATTCATCATTTAATAAAAACCCAAGCGTGAAATATTTGAAAAATTGTTTTCAAGTTTTGTAGTCGAATTTGCATTGTTTACATATTAAAAATTCTAGTGGGCGAAGGAATAATATGTGTACAACGCACAGAAATAGTAAAACTATACTTACATCACTTGTACAAGTGTAGATAGCGTAAGTTTACCTAAGTTTTGACATCGTGCGTTTCATTGTTATGAAACACAACAGAAAGTGTGAAAAACATTGTAAATTGTTTTTCTTTTAAAGTTTTACGGGTAATTTATGTTGATAACACGTAAATAAGTTAGGTGGGCGAAGAAATAACACGTGTACAACGTGTGCAAGTACATAATGCTATATTACACGTATAGATGGCGCTAGTTTTTCAAATTTTTGGCATTTTATAAGAAAAATACTCGAAAATGTTTTTCTTTAGAAGTTTTACGGTTAATTTATGTTGTTAACACACAAACAAGTTAGGTGGGCGAAGAAATAACATGTGCACAACGTGCCTAAGTAGTAAAACCATACATAATGTGATTTTACACGTGTAGATGGCGCTAGTTTTCAAAAATTTTAATATTTTATAAGAAAAACAATCAAAAATGTTTTTCTTTTGATGTTTTGCCATTAATTCACGTTGTTTTCCCATAAAAAAATATAAAAAGCGAAAAAATAATATTTTTTGGATTCAAAGAAGTGGTAAAACGATACATAATTTGGTTCTATGCATGTAGATGGCGCACGTGAATGAAATTTTCGACATTGTACATTTCATTGTTCCCATATCCAATTTGCACCGTTTACGACCTAATGTTCGCCGGGCATAAATAAAATCGGCGCCGAAAGCTAATAATCCGCGCGTTTTTACGCTTTTCCCGCCGCTCTCGGCGCGAATAAATATGCTAATGGCTTTTTGTCTCTCATATCGTATCGAGTCGCGCGGCGCGCACCGCTCCATACGTGACGTGAAATATTCAGACGGGCGCATTTTGTATGCACATTGACACATTCGAAACATTTTCGAGCAGCCGAAAAGGTGCGCGCGATATCTTGAATAAATTCCGCCGGAAACGTGCGCTCGCTTTTTATTGCACTCGGCGCCGGCTTCGTTTTTCGGATAAAATATGCAAAGATTAACTCGCGCGCTGCGTTAGCTCAAGTGTTTCCTTCCTTTCTCACACAAGAAAAAATAACACATAAAATCGAACCACGCCACGAGCAAATAAAACCGTTTCTGAGGTGTTTGTTTCATACCTAATATGCAAACACGCCGCTCGAATTGTTCACAATCAATAAAATTTCTTTGCGCTACAAATATTTACGTAATATATCATCTTGCAAATGCATTTTTCTTGTCACCCGAGCATTTTATCAACGCGCGATGATAAACTAGTCGAGAAAACTTTGTTTTATAGCGAAAACAACCCATGTTCGATACTTGTACCGCAAGTCAAACTATGGTAATTTTATTAATATTGTGTATTTATAATATTTTTTCAAATCTACATTAATTTATTATTCATAGCCTGCAGATGGTAACACTTATAAATTTTATCTTCCATTTCCACCTATTTTGCATGCAAAAATTTCGCCGTCCGGCGTAAAACTTTGCTCATTAACCTCTTTCGCCCGGCGCGCGGCGAATTAATTTTGCAAATCGGAATTTTTACGCGCCATGATTACACGCTAAATTTAATAAACTATGAAAACTCGTAGCTGCGCGAAAAAACTGTGATGTTGGTTAATAAGCTGTTTGATGCGATATGTGGTGTTTTTGCGCGAGCGCGCGCGCCCGGCGCCTCCACCATCGACATATACATAAACACGCTGTCTGCGTGCATACTGACTGTCCTCATTAATAGAGACAGCCGTCATTAGGCGCGTAATTGAATGTCACGATGTGTTGTGTTCGGGATTTTGCACTTAATTTCCACTCGAATCAAATTTAAACCAGCGTCGAATCTCGGATGTTTTTAAGTAGCATTTTCATGTGTGTTGTGTGTGTGTTATTGTTGTGTGTGGTTGGCGTTGGCGCTGGGAAAACATTAATTTTGACACCTGTGCTTAAATGTCTACCACACAAATGCGTGTGGCGTGAGAGGGTGTCACACAAAGACACAAAATACATGGGATTTCACTCCCGGCGCGCTTCTTTTTCGTTTTACGCTTTTGTGCGCCGCGAGAGAGATCATGCCAATAAACACATGAAAACATTTCGCGCACAAAGGTGAGAAATTACCTCGGCTTTTAAGCTGCGCGCTCGTCCGGACGTGACCTGAGAGACTTTTTCCGAAGCACGAACTTTCTCACTTTACTTTTCGCACTTTGCGACGGCGAGGCGCGCGCTTTCAAAAGCATTTGCGCATCCACTTTATAAGGATATATGTCACAAGGAGTTGGGACGTACTCATAAACAATGAGTGCACAGAACACACACTGAAATGCATACACATATGCGACGAAAAGAAAAATATTTATCGAAAAAACGTTTTCGTTTAAAATTTTTATTTTTACTATGCAGTAATAATATTATTTTAATGTTAAGTACATGATATATAAAAAGTATAATCAAATGGTAATTATACACAAAACGAATGGGAAATCAAATAACAGTTTGATAGTATTATATACATTTGTTGCAACTTTTTAAATTACATTCAAGTATTTTAGGAAAATATATGTATTTCGATTGCATGTTGATTAATTCGATACTTTAGCAATTAGTAGATATGATAAACAATGTACAGATTTGTGTGTATGGGATGAAACGGATTATTGCAGAATTATATTCAGCGTCGAAACAAACAAAATCACTAAACAGAGATGAGATTGAATCGTTTGTCCTCTGCTTTTCACTGCAAAATTATTTAAAAACAGAGATATTAATATTAAAACTTTAGTGCAAACTAGTATTTGTAATATTCATTAAATCGTGATTTAATACTGCGTTTAATTGTGCAAAAATTTTTGGGATTGGTGCGATTTACATAAAGTTATTAACAATTAAAGTTGGATTGTATTCAAATTGATGATAATTAGTGAATAACTTTCGATAGGAATTCGTTAGCAATAAATGATGGGCATAATTAGGTTCAGAATTTCATACTTAATAGTAATGAGAAGGAATTATTATTGTAAGTTGATTAGTTGAGTAGTAATTATTAAAAAACTATAAAATTTCAAGTTTGGTGAAAGTGCTGCGATTATTGCTCGGTAATTTGACAGTTATTAATTAATTACTCCTAAAGTATTTGAACTAAGTTCATGATTCCATTAAAATTTGATCCTCAATTAAATTATTCATCAATCTGCCAAATATTTTGTTGATCTGATTATTATTACAAAAGTTATTAACAATTAAATTAAATTTACTAAAAATTTGCGCATTTTACTTAAAATGGTCCCTAACTATTGACAAAATATTGTTTTTAATAATATTTTTTACTAGAATTATGCAGAATTTATTCTTGAACATATATTCAAAGAAATTTCCAATTTATCTCAAATAATTTAAAAGTTATTAACCAAAAACTAAATAATGTTTTACTCACCAAGCATTAACGTACTCCATTCACCTAGAAGTTCCTGTTGATGATCCTTTATCGGCAGATTCTGAACGACTGATGACCGATCATCTGACCACAATAACGGCGATAATGACGCCACGCATTTCACACGCATTGAACCCCCGAGGAAGTGCCGCGAGTTGAGGGCGAAACGCAGCCCCAGCACGGCGGTACGTAGTCCGTGCTCACTGCGCTCCACCGTTGGGTATCTTATCAATGCTTTGTTGCTGGTCACCTAAGTGTAAATACAGCGCATAAATATTTAATGTTTAATCATCCCGAAACAGCCGTTACCTGGTGCTCGTTAATGTACCAATGCAGTAAAGATGCGGGGTAGCTTTCCCCGGATGTACAATTCAGGTTTATCTCGCCGCCGATTTGATACTGTGACTCGACGCCTGTTATCGTTGGGTCTTCGGTGGGAAGACCTGAAAAATTAATTGGAGATTTTGGTATAAGTTCAATTGTTAGGTTAGGTATAATTAGCTAAAATTTGATGTGGATGCGCCGGGCTAACATTGGTTATCATGTTGAAAATTTTTTTTTGAAGTTTTAGTTAGCCTTTTTAGAAAAATGATTTTTTTCTTTATAGATATTGAAAAGTTTTGAATTTTTTTGAGGAAATATTTTGATTTGATGAATAATAATGCATAATTCAGTTAATAAAATGTGAAAATCAATCGGAAGGCATAAAAAAGCACAAAACATTATTGTTTTGATAGCAAATAAAAGCAGAGGTCTTTTTCTTATATTACTTGTTTGTCAGCCGCATTCGTTTCCAATCTGATTTCGTTTTATTTTATTACTTTATCGATTGCCACCTTCCTTCCGCCCCCGTTGCTGCGATGTTATTGTCTACATTCTTTTGCTCCTCGCACAAATCCCCGTCTTTATTATTTATTATTTCTGAGTGTTTGTTTGATGAGGTATCATCCTTGTGAAATAAGCAAAAATTAATTTTAAAAATCGCATCAAATTTTAAATGGATATTTAGCCAAAGTTTACGTTTTGAGCTGGAAGCGCATCAAAACGTTAACAAACATAAATTCGACGTGAGCTAACGAAGCTTGTCAAGTCGCGTGGCAAGGCGTGTGCAGGATAACGGGAGGAAGCACAGTAACATTCGGAGCGGCGGCGGCGAGAGCACTTGTGGCGCGCCCGGCGTGCAACGCGCTCTTGAATATTTGATGCACAAGCACTTAGCATTAGCCGCAGACGGTGGTCGCGTTTCATAATTTGTAATTTTGGACCCCTGCTAGAATCTTTATCAATTTATCAATAGGTTAGATAAAGAACCCTCAACGCAAAGCGACACAAAATGAAACATATACATTTGCAACTTTCAATTTAATCCTCTTATCGAATATTACATAAAATTAAAATTTACTAAAAAAAATAAAAAAAAGTTTTACTTACATATTACTTCCATGCGTGCTTCGCTTTTCGCCGAGGCGAAGGATGGTGCTTCAGCAGACACTTCACACATGTATAATCCTCCACTGCGCAAAGTCACCCCTCGAAGAATTACGCGTTTGCTGTCTGACAGACTCACCTGTAATTCCCACAAATTTAAAATTATTTTTTTCAAAAAAAAATTTTTTTTTTTATTTTGACTTACGTCTACTGAAACTCCTTCAACATTATGACTACTCGCCGGTGGTCGTTCTTTGGCCACATACCGATAGAACTCCTCGTTGTCTTTGTACCACTTGACAGCGTAGAGAGTATCATTGCCCAGGTCGTAATCGCATTGTAATTGTGCTGTTTCACCCGGTTTGCGATACTGTGGTAAATTGACGCGCACCCACTTCAAACCGGAAGTTGTTGCGGATGATAGAAACGCAGCATCTGTTTAATATTAATAATAATCAAATTATTCCCAAAAACACATCTAAAAAAAATAATATAAACTTACGTAGTAATTTAATTAATAATAATTGATAAATAAAAATCGGTAAAGTTTTTCCCATCATTATCACTTCAAAATTACTTAAAACACTTTATAACACTATTTAACAATTTATTTCTAATCATTTTATTCACATATTTTAACACTTTGTTTATTTTATCATTTATAATTTATAATCCTTTGGTATAACACAAACACATGTGTTGAATATTTATTTTTCTCTGCGCGTCTTTGAAACTTTCGCTATAAGCACGCCGTGTGCTCGTATTTTCCGCCCGAGAGTCGCGTATAGAATGCGCCGTTCATCGTAAGTCCAACGTTTCAGCGGCTGACTTTTCGGGTGGTTGTGTGGGGCGCATGCGCCGGCGTGTGCGGATTGTGTTTTCCCACAGTGTTTACGCTGCGCGCATGCAGGATATCACATCGCGTACGCGTTGCACGAGCGTTTGAGAAACGATGCACGAATTACTCTCCTCGCGCTCCCCTTCGCATCGACGGCGGTGGTCTTGCTGCCCTCCGCGCCGCCCGCCGTGCATTATTTGTTACTCCATTATCCGCGTCTTCCACAAACATTCTTCGTAATGCGCTTACACTTACGGGGGTCTGTTGGTCCTCGGGACTCGGTCCTCAAATAGGGGATGCGGCCCGATTCGGTCAATATCAATTTTCTATTTGGCGAAATTTAGTTTTCGTATAAGTATATAAAATATTTTTTGGTGTGGTTTATTAGAAATCGATTTTTATTTAAACTCATTGGGAATTTAATTATTTTGTAAGTGAAAGTATTAAGTGGATGCGCCGGGCTAACATAGGTTATACCATTAAAGAAAATTTTTAATCAAATATTTTTGAATTTTTGACATTTTTAGTGAGATTTTTTTAATTATTATAGGAAATACAATAGATAATTTCATTTTTAACGTTGAATATTGAATTTAAGTGAAAAAAGCGGCAAAATGTTGAAACTATTTCAAAAAAATTCAAATTTTCTTGAAAATTTTGCAATATTTAACTTTTTCATCTCCAATTTTTAATTTTGGATTTAAATATTATAATACCGAATAAGAAATTAACTCAATTTCTTATAATTTTATAGAAAATTCATCAAAATTGGTTTTCTATTGAAATTTTAACTTTTTAATCGAAAATTTTGATTTAAAAACGTCCTGATCATTTTTATTCATTAAACTGGAACTAACTTCCCTTAAACTTAGTAAATAATTAATTAAGCACAACATTTATTGATGAATACCTAGAAGGTTTACCCATGAACTAGTATTATCTTAATATTTGATCATCAAACACATTTCCTTGTTATTAACAAATGTGTCCTTCTATATACCAACTCTTTCATTAATTAATTCCAAGCGGCGATTTAATCATGCCATAAAACTAAACTATCGCGCACATCAAAAGCCACATTTCATTTTTAGACATTTCCATACATCTTTCATACTCGTACTATGTCGTCTATATTATCCTACAACACTAGTAATTTCGGCGCATGTGAGCATGTTAAAATGTAAAATTTGAGCCGCGCGCATTTACGATACGTTTAGCGAACTAAATGAGGAAATATGTCGCGCTGGGGAGATGTGCGGGCGGGCGGTGGCGTCCTAAAAGGCGCGTTAGTAGAGCACCGCGCGGACGTACCAAGTTTGAGATGAATGACACCCTCGGGCAATGCGCGAAATGCATGCATGCGCGCGATATTTGTTTGCATGGTTGCGGCGCCGCCGAGCGAATGACATATATCTCAATAATGCGTTGCGCATCGCTTGGGAACGCGATAACTCGAATACGACAACAACTTCTGAATGCGAATCCAAATAAAATAAAACACATGATTACATACGCGTACATAGTAGCTGGAATTTGCTGAAACCATGGGCGAGAGTTGCACATCTTGTGAAAATCTAGTTATTAAAAAATTCTTCTGGGTTTAAAAATGCACATTCGTAAATGTAAAGTACATTTATAGTAGAAGTTAATTTATATTGAGAAAATTAATTTGTAAATTCCGGAAATAACAAAAATTTTGATTTTTTGTTGATTTTTAAATTTAAGAACAATTTTCTTTAAAAAATATTATTTTCTTCTGATTTATTTTTTCGATAAATTTATTCGGAAGGCAGGAAACTGAAAAAAACTAATTTTTTGTCAACGTGGACTATGAATTTAACTTTTTTTTAACTTTTTCTGTTGATAAAGTATGAATGGAGAGTTTTCATCTCATTTTCATTCATAATTTACTCAATATCTTTTCCAATTTTGTGTCTTATGGCTGGATTCATAAGAATAACACTGGTAAAATAGTAAATTTAATTTTTTAACAGTTAAAAAGTAGTATACGAAAAGTTTTAACCTGAAAACTCTTAAAACACTTGTTGAAATGAAGTTTTAAAATGTTTTGTTATTGTTTTCCTTAAATTCTTGTGCTTTTCTTAAGTATTTGCCATGTTACGGGAGCTTGTAACACTTGTAACACTTTTTCTTTGATTTTTTTCATGTTTGAACCAATCAATTGAACCTTGCGCAAGTTTTAATTAAAATTGGAAACAAAACGGAAGTGGCGCGTGTTTCGGTACCGCATGGTACCATGGATGCCTTCTTCATCGTTAATTAGCTTTCTTGCCAACGCAGGAAGCGATTAGGATAGGATGGCATAAACTCCAAGTTAATCGCTCTAATTGTTAATCATGCAAAAGGCCTCCATCAGCCTTTATTATATTTAAACGCCAATTAAAATTACAAAAGCTAAATTCCTCGAAAGTCGATAAATCAATTTTTAGAATATTTTACTGCATTTTTTAATGTTTTGATGGTGTGTAGTGATATATTCCGCAATGAAAACATCTCATCTCTGCGCATAGCTACGAGCGAAATTAGGCCTCTCGTCGTGCCCGCACAGACCGCACGGAATTAACCGCGCCGGCACAAAATTGAATGGAGGCGGCGCGCCGCGTCGCAAACAATGCCGCGCCGCCCTTCCGTCTTCACCCCCCGGTCGCCGGCGCTGCGCCAAACGCTAATTGCCGAGTTAAATATGTTAATTGTCGTTGCCGGATCGTCTGCTTTGCATCTATTATTGTGTTTTACGGCCGAAAACATGTTTAATTGTCAAACACACAAACAGCATCTATTTATTTAAATCCGGAAGTATATCATACATGTTTTTAATTTCGTATTGCGCACAAAGCGAGAGTTATTGCAACATTATGCTTCACGTTAGTGTAAATATATGGTGGAGGCGCCTTTTAACTTTGCGTGTGTTGATATGGTTCCCCTGGTGGTGCGCGCAGCGTTTGAAGAATTAACTCTCGCCGGCTTTGCATCATGCGAGCCGGACATCAAGAGATCGAGGCCTGCCAGAAACGCAAAACCGAAACCAAAAACGAAGCCGTAAAAGAAGCGCTTTTACGCGCGTGCCGCTCGCGGCGATCACAAAGTTAAACAGGTTAAAACATGTTAAACTCGCCCAACTCACCTTTGAGAGACCGGCGGCGGACAGGTGTACGTCGATGTCGACGTGCTGTCCGAGGCTAATACACTGCACACAGTGCCCTGAAGGCATCTCGACGAGTGAGCGAGATCAAAGACGATTGTCAAAATCAAAGGGTTGTCGAAAAAAGTTAAAAAATCAAAATAAAAAAAAGTATCAAAATTGTATACAGCTATCTATTGCATTATATATTCATGTTGAATAAGTTGCCTATATTGAATAGCGGAAGAGTGAAAAGTGAAAGCTCGTCACTTGGTGGAGCTGTAGTCGTTGCTATTGAAATGGGCAAACATTTACGCTCGGTTTCGGAATTTCTAAGCTCTCTGGAAGTGGATATAAATATTCGCGTATTTGCGTTTGCGCTTGTTAGTTTCGGGTGAGGGTGAGAAGTCTGCATGGAAATGACAGCGTCTTTGTGAGTATCATCCACTCTACAACACAAGCCATCCATCAAATGTCGTTTGCATTGATTTTTGAAACATGTTTTACTAAAATTGCCAAAATTTAAAAGAAAAAAATTGAAAATGTTTTAATTTTAGACTTATTTAGGAAAATTATTGAAGAAATTGTATAAAATGCAACAGATAATTGTATTCCAAACATTGAAATTTGAATTTAACTGAGGAATATTGAAAATTTTTGAAACTTTTACCAAAAAACAAAATTTTCTCCAAAATTACACAAAATTTGGCTTTTTTATCTCCAATTTTTGATTTATCTTTTAAATGTTATAAAATCTATTGACACAATTTGTTATTATTGTTTTGGAGTAGATTTTTCTGAGATAATTTTGCGAAATAAAAAAATTTCAAAAAAACTATCTAAAAGTAATATTTTCGTAACCACTTGTTTCACCTTTGACCCAAAAGCAACTTTTCACTCTTATTCTCCACTTAAGCATTTCACATTCCGCGGATAAAGCACCCAGTGCCCTGCCTCCACCCACACACACACATACACAAAGATAAATTATGAACATCTTGAATATTTCATGCCGACGGCAAAAAGCGAAAGCGCAAGAAGCGAATAAAACATGTGCTATCAGAATCGGTACGGCTTCGGCTGGTTGCTTGCTGCTCCTTGCGCCCTAATTAGCCCGCCCGCCCCGCGTCGGCATTCCCTTGTAATCCGGCCGCAAATTGGGCGTAGTTCGCTAGTTGCCGCTCGGCGCCCGTCCTCGCCGCCGGCCGGAAAAGGATATGTTTCGCTAATCTTTCCGCCTAAACGCTATTCTCGTTCGTCCCGTTCGTCTTCCGCCACGTCGGCGTCGTCCGTAATTACCACATTAGACGACGTAATGTTAAACGACGTTCAGCGACTAATGATAAGATTTGTTATCGTCGCATCGCATCTTTTATTTACGCGCGCTTCATTGATACGCAATTGGCGGTTATTTATGAATACGGCGGGGCGCGGCGTAATAAAATATTTATTCGCGTATTCATTATTGCTTTTATCAGCGGGGGCGGTGCGCCGTCAGCGATGATTCACTCGCGTAATTATTGCAATAAAGTGTAGCCAGCGCGCATCCAGATGGCGAAAATGTTGTTTCGAAATGAGTTTTATATTAATGCGGCGTGCGCGCCGTGAAATTCAAAGCGAAGCGCGCGATTGTTGCTTGTGTGTGGCGGCGAAACAATGCCGCACACACACCGAATTGTGCGGTGCGTTCACTGACTGCACAAAGTAATTAAATGTGAGCGGCGGCGAGGGCGGGCGGGCGAGATGAGGGTAGGTAGGTGGAAACACGAGGCCGGCAATAAAACCGAGTCTGATTGCGCTCATTATGTGGCCGGAATGGTGGCCAGTGGTTCGCGGGGGCGGCGCGCGGGGCCAATTGATTAGACGGCTTTTACTCATTTACCCAGAAAATGTTTGCCTAGCCCCGAATGCGGG